AATCTTTAAGGGGTTAAGGTCGTGGCTATCTTGAAAAATTGATATTAATCACTTTTAGGTTCACTTTTCTCTAAGACTAATAGAGATAGGTAATTGACTTTTTACACACGTATAACTTGGTGTTTCCTTGACATGCTAAACCATTTCCATTTCCAATGTATCTTTTACATTTTAAATTAATTGTTCCCTAATCTCAAAGAGGCAGGTTTCCCATGGCACTTTCTTCTATGAGCTTAATTTTCCTCCCATGTTATGCAAGACGAGACGCAAGGTGCAGGTATGGCATTGGATTCAGGGGGGAGGCAATGTGATCCTATGAAGACGAATGCAACATTTCGGATCAATTTCAAATTGTTCTCACACTTAAGAAGTACCAACAGATTCTAAAACTCGGATTTTTCTATCTCTTCTTTTTTTCCAATACCGCATCACATCTCGTCTTTTGTTCGGCGTTTGCCCGCTTCCCTTCATTGCATATACAGGGTGTCCCTCTTGAGATACAACCTATGAAACTTGTTGAAACTGGCAGAATTTTGCTGAAATCTGATATTTAATAGAATTTTGAAAATCGACATTATATGTCCCTATTGTAACAGTTTCATATACTATTTCTCTACCAGCGATAGGCACATGCAAATAGATAGACAGGTAAAGTGTTTCAGATACGTTATTTGTGCTTACAGATGTGATAATCGTGCATCTGAAGTACTTTTTTTTTTTAGAAACATATACGAGATTCAGTCAAAAAGTTCGCGGAATCGTTGTCCTACGTTGAAAATTGGTTAAATGTGAACTTTTCTTGTGGATTCCCTTCAAAATAGTCTCCTTTTGCGTCAAAACAACATTGCCAGCGTTCGCGCAGCTAATGGATGCACTCATGGAAATCCTTCACTGTTCTACAGAATATTCCCGGCAGAAGAATTTTATGTAGAATGTTGCAAAATGAAACTGGGTGGTACTCATCGTGTCAACTATACAAATTGGCTCGAAATGTGTGCTCCTGTAACGCACATACTTTTTAAAGAGTGTTTTTTTCTTTTTACGAGAATACGCTGCTTTGAATAACGATGCGGATCTCGCATATTAACTGATTTTACATTGCCATTTTTTTATTCATCGTTTGTACGATCCACATTCATCCATTTCTTTCTCTTTCTGAATCTAGAACTCTTTGTTACTTCCCACTCACGGATGAAGTGTTCCAAACTACTTCTGTGATGACGGAAAACAAAGGGTCGTGTTCCTTTATTCCGCGCTTCGAGCCATTATGGCCGGGAATTTTCCACTCCCTTGAGCTGTTGATGTGCTTAGCCGAGCCAGAAAATTTCGCCATGCTGCCCTGCTTTCTTTGCGCTACCGAAAGTCCCCTTTCATCGCAACAACATGTAATTTCACCGGCGTGGAGTGCGTGTCTAGGAAGTTCACAGATGATGAGAAAAAAATGCTTCAGGTTTTCTGCTGGATATATATTTTTTCTTTCTTGATCTTCCTACAAACCAATGCACTTTTTCATGTATTTTTAGAGATTTTAGTTTTCATGCATTATTTTCCTTCGCATGGTAATTTTAAAATCCGTTTTGGTGGGTTTTTTTTGGAACTCCGTGATTGCTTGACACACGTATCTAGCTTAGACGTGCGTTAAAGAATGCATGTAGGGAAAGAATGACAGGGAGGTTGCGTGGGAACGAGGAGGGCAATAGGGATGATATAGGCTCCCCTTGTGCAATCCGGCTGTAAACACGCACGCCCTTGTCTTCCTAATGGACAGCCAGGAAGACCATGAGAAACTGACCAGGTTTCCTCGAAGACTGGTTAGGAGACCATATATTTGTCATCTCCTCAATGGAGATTGTCTGATTTCCCTCTGAGATTTTTCTCTCGGAGGTCTTCCACTTGTCTTATGGTTCCCGACCCTTGTTCTGTGTTCGTATAGATTCCCTTTTATTTATTTTTAGAGGCTCACCTTTTTCCTAGGCATAAGTAGGCCCCTTTCAAGAAGAAAAAGAGACTTCTAAGGCCTTTCGTGCCTTTCTCTCTGTCTCCCACTTTAGCTGTCCAACGATGATGAATAAATTATTTATCTGATCACTGGAAACATTGGCATGCAGATAGATATTGGCAAGATACAAGTGAGACCTTTTTTTTGTAACAGAAAGATCTCTAAAGATCTCACTTGCCATTTGTGCCAGAAAGAGGAAAACATGTCTAATTGGGGGATTTTCTCATTGCGGGAAGAGCGCTAGAACAAGCGGCCTTCCGGGATCTCGACTCAACGCACATTCGCACCTCCCAGCCATAGTCAAGGGTTTTGTCACCGACCAATCGAGTCGCCAGTTCCTCCCAACCTTTGTAACGGAAGGATCCATTGCTGAGAAATGCAATGATATAGACTGTATGACGTACGTGGACAGAATGGCTAGCTCAAGAAATATCACAATTCCAAACTGACAATCTTCACTTCTGAACTCTGCTGGCTCAGTGTCTTATATTTTATTTTGAAAACTTTCATTATTTTATCTCGATCAAGCCATGGATCTGCGTGCATTCTGATGACTTTATTTCATATTCTTGGACTCACGGAGTTAAACAGTGAAGCATAATTTTCTCCTCCCCTTAACCCTTTCCACTGTTTAACTGCATGAAACCCCCTTTTCAGTACCTTGGCATGAGCGTTAGCGACGGAAACAGTCGTAGGTTTTAAAATGCGTGGAATAAAACCTTGAATCGCACTCCTCCCGGTCGTAAAAGGGATCTAAGGGAGTACTCGTAAATACAGGGTGGCCATGCATCCTTGGAGGCGGTTTTATGGAGCCCTCATTTCAACGGAATAGAAAAACTTCCCGGTTTTTCTTCCTTACTTTGTGAGGTCCGTGTTTTGCAGAATATCGCCTGGCATGCATACAGAGAGCTTGTTAATGTAATGAAAATGTGGAATTGCCAAAGACTTGAAAAATGATTCCTCCCGCTTGAACGTTCCGCCCCTGATTTGGAAAAGCCCTGACCAAGGATGGCAACAGAAGCATTTATCAGACACGGGACGTGGGAGAGGGGAAGAAAACCTTTCATTCATAATTGGAATAATGATGATAAATCGGCGACATCACCGTGATTGTCTTGTCCTGACACTGGACGTAAATTAACGACCCTTGATTGCTGTTAACCCTTGTCACCGCCTGCTCAGGCTGTGCTTGCATTTGTGATCTATGGACATTCCAGGGAATTTTAACCTTTCGTAGTAATTAGGAAGCTTGACTAAGGTGAGAGGCAAATTAAATTATGGAAAATGAAATCAAATGGGAAAAAGAGAAATATTGGGGGAGGGGAAGGGGAATAGAAGATGGAACTCGGAAAATGAGAGAAAATCATGCTCCAAGCCAAAAAAGAAAAAATAAATGAGCGGCCGGAGAAGCTGCGGGAGGGCCGGACACCCCTATCTTTCCTTCATCGTCCAGTCAAGTCTCTTCAAAGACTATTCACATTATATACTGAATCGAAGATGAGAGCTTTCCAACAATGTGGAAGTAACCCTGAAGCCGCACGAAATTCCAAACAGAGAAACGGAGAGAAAAAAACGTGTTCACTCAAGGAGATAGTAGTAGCTCTCAGGCTTTTTTTTTATTTATTAGAATGGTATGATTACAAAAAAAAATACTATGAATGACTTTTAAAAAAAAAGGCAGGATACTAGAGGACACAAACCCTTCACTATAAGACGCAGTGAGATTCGTGTGGAATATCGTCCCCAAAAGCAGGGAGAAAAGACTTAGGGGGATCAGAGTCGTCAGCGACAGCATGAAGCTCATTGTTCCGTGCTTCTTTGCAACGGTTTTTACTCAGAGCTCTCTTTTTCCTCGCATATTTCTCACCGTGCATGCAAACAATGAATGGGAACTCACCGCCATGTCATCGACATACATCAGATGGACAGTGAGTTTTGGACATCCTGTTCGACATTGTCTTCAAAAGACTTGAATTGATATGGACGCAAATGAAGTTTAGGTGCGAAAAGTAACGCTACCTTTAGAATAGAAAAGAACGGCGAGCTTTTCCATGAAGCCCATTACAATAGAACACTTTTTGAAATCGGAAGGCGAATTCTGGGATGCCGACCTTCTCGATGCCTTCCGGTCTATCGGTTGGCAGGTGAAGAGTAGAAACGGCTGCGGAGGAGACATTGCAGAGGTGTTGCTGCAGTAACGTATCGTCTTCAGGTGATATGAGTGCATATGTCAATCTTAATATCCTGAGGAAGTAGAAAGTCTTCGGAATGCTTAACGCTACGAGGAGAAAGGTCAGCATTTTCGTGCCTTTTTCAGCTTATTATGATGTACTGGAATTTGTGATCTAGTTTCCGAAAACTCACCTCATCAATATAGCACGGATAATTTGCGATACGTTTCAGAATCGACTCGCCTCTGAGATTGGGCTTGGTACAGAGCGCTGTATGCCTTCGCAGGCCATTCAGATGACCGGAAGTCTTGTTACTTGGCTTTTTGAGGCGTGAGCACGTTTCTTGTTCTGTTTCGTATGAAGGGTTTTGAATTTCTGTTAAAGTTTTTCCATAACGTTATCCGAAATAAGGGTATGAAGTCGACAAGAGAAAGGAGGACGACGCGAAGAAAGCCTTTTCGACAGGGTTGAGTTGGACTTACATAATTTAAAGATGCCCACCCAGCAAGACAGGAAAGGGTTGAGGCCGCACGCGCCCGTCATGCATCTCCCTTAACGAGTCCTTGAGAGCTGGGCCCGTCAATGATGCCCTCGGGACGCATGATCTCCGCGGGATTCCTGTCACACGAACCTCGTGAAGAAGGAAAGTCTCCGGAAAATCCCTCATCCTCCGTGGGACACGGAAAGGAAAAGAAAGTGTTTTTTTTTTTTCCTTTGTACCAGGGGTTGAAGGTATGCCGTGGTCGTTCCGCCAGGTTTCCCTCTTGTAATTCCTCAGTCTTCCGTGCAAAAACACACAAACGCACGCAGAGACAAAGACGATTTTCGCAATGAAAGTCCAATAAGACATGCAGGAAAAAATTTTTCGACCGGTCAAATTCTACCATAAAATGATGCACCACACAAACTGGAAAGTACCTGGAATCGACATTGGAATGCCCGATTATCATTTAAAAAATCACATCCCTTTCCGAATGGATTCCCTTTGACACGAAGCATTGTTTAAAGGAAGATCCCTATCTCGGCAACCGAATCGACCGAGCATAAAAAGTCATGCGGTTTTCCACAATCCTGCACTATCAGATGAACCTGTCCCCTCATTTATTTAACGAATGGCATGCTAAAGAGGCAAGTCTCCCGTAGGGGGTCTTTTTTCTTTGTTTTCCGCCTCTTCGTTGATTGGTTCTGGACGTGGAATCAGTTCCCTTGTGACGGTATGTACGACCTGCCCTGGAAGAAAAGAAATGGGAAAAAACAACCAATGACATTAGCAGGGGCTGTCCTCTCGTTGCGTGTTTTAGACTCGGTCGTTGTAATTCTTCGGACCATAAGAACTTTGAGGGGAACTGATAAACTCAGCATCGATCAAAAAGTTCGCCTAATATTTTTCCTTCCAAAATTCAGCATTATTTTCCTACCTGCTTTAGAGACTGCTAAAGAGACTAAGCATTTGTGGAATCACTAGATATTATTTGAAGTAAATATGATATAAATGGACATAATTATCGAAAATTGTGGCAAGTCTTCAGACTGAAAGCGAAATATTGAGGGAAACGCTTAATGATAATTAATTCTCCAATTGTTAGATTCAATAATATATTACATTGCGATCTGTGAATGCCGACTTTTTACCCGACTGTCATTGCATATCGACCAGGTCCCACTTTCGGTTACATTTATCCCATGTGTCAACAGATCGACTAAGCTTTGAAGTGAATTGAAGTGTCAACTCACAGTATTAAATCACCAAAGACGATCTGGTTTCGGATGGTTGCTCACCAGGTTGAGAAAATAAATAAATACTGGGAAGAGGCAACTTGGTACCTGGGTTCTAAGGGATAATGTTACTCTTGGATAGGATATTTAAAAAAAGCGAGAAAACAATGAGATGTATAACAAAGTATCCCTGGACGAAATTCTCTCTCTTCCATGACGCTTTCCTGCCTAATTGATGGTGACATGGGGTGTATGAAGGGGGGTTCTTTTTTTTTCTTTCTCTCTGTTAAACCCCCCTGCCTGGGAGGTTCCTCATCCGTCTTCTAAGCATATATGCCCACGCACCGTCCAAAAGGGATTTGTGAAAGATCCTCGTGGAATGCGTCTGACGCCAGATGAGACACCCCAGGGTGGAAATTATAGGGTCTCCACCTCTCTCCCCTTTCCAATGCGATACCGAAAATTCCTTCACAGGTGTCTCACCGAGTAGATTGTCGCCTCATCGAGGGCAATCTCGCCTCATGAAGTTTGAGGCAGTCCCAGGGAGTTAGGTGCCACTCTTGAGTAGAAAACTCTTGCCACTCTTGAGTAGAAAAAAGTTTTACTTCAGAAACATCTTGAATGTATCCTATCATGAGTTCATTTCATATCGGCCATAAACGCATATGTTGCTTGCAGGATGTGTTCAAGAACGCGTCGAGGGCGTTGTTCCGTGCAACAAAGGACCTGAGCTTCTTTCGATCCGTGAAGGTGGTGATTCCCAAGCATTGGGACGTGGGGGAATGTGCTAGGGGTATCTCCTTTACCACGGGCACGCTCCCCTGGGTCCACACCCTGAGGGGATTTCAGGTGGGGCCACCCACGCCCCGCAATGGAGACCTCCCGTCCACCCTTCAACCCTGGGGGTGTGGCCACCCCGGCCACCACATCTACCTCCCATTCACCTATTTCCTCGGCGAAGCCGGACTCGGCTTCGGGGACCCAGGTCAGCATGCACCAGGCCTAGTTCATATTATCACTCTTGTCAACCACTCCAGATACTTTTAGCTTAGCATAAATCTTAATACCATTTTTTGAGAATTTTTTCTCTATTTCATTCGAGATTATACTATCCATGACCCTCGCATAGACGTAAAAAAACGTTAGGCACTGATGTCATCCAGGTGATCCTTTTATATTAATATCTACAGTATATAAATTTGAAATGTTCAAAATCGCAATCCTCTTTCATGTGAAGGGAACTCCTAAGATACCACCACGGCCAAAACGTTTCGGAAAAGCTCCTTTTATCATTTCATCGTTATTTTTTAAAATTGGATATAGGGCGTTGTGGTTCCGGTGCAAGTAAAATTTTTCTTCTTGTTTTAATTTGAGTTAATTATTGTCACCTGTATTCTTCCAATCATATGGTATATTCTCAATAAAGTTTTTTTTTATTTTAAGGATATTTGCAAGCTGGCGCTTATTGCCCCATGAAGTGCACCTTGAGACTCTTCTATTATAGGTCGGATACTGGTGCGGGAGTGGGCTAAGTACCGGTACGGGGTGTTTGAGGAAGCCGGATACCCACAAGACCCCTTGTACCCCTCATATTTCACACCCTATTTAGAAAGTGGGCCTGAAATGGAGGCTCCCACGGGTTGTAGCAATGGTCACGTCAAGGGAAACAGGTCTGTTTGCTTTTGAGCCTTTGCTATTGTTTTTTTTTTTCCTACTCGTTGATACCACCGATCTCCGTCGGTGGATACGTACTTATTCCATGTGTGACACCCCAGAATATTCTTCAAGCAATAACAAACGTATTCTGCATATACAGAGTGGGTCAAAATTACCTAGTAAACTTTGTGAAGTAAGTATATATACGAGATAGTGAACACTACAATGTAATACATACTGTCAAGAATGAATGAATTTGAATTGAAAATGGTTTTACAGCTTGTGAGACAAATGTTCAAAATGTATTTCTTCAACGTTGACACATTCCTGGAATCAACTAATCACAGAGTGGTACACGGTCGGAGGCACGGAGTTTACTACGTATTTTCGGGTCACACTATATTCATAGCATGAAAAATAAGAAATGAAAAAGGGAAATAGGTTTCATCTAAATAACTCCCTTAAGTGCTTTCCAGACAAGGATGTCGAGAATGAGATATTATGTACACTGAGAAAGAGAAACGACATTCCCGAGAAACACGTAGGGTAAGCACCCCGGTTTCTGACCGGTCTCCAGTTGTTGGCCAGCGAGGCTTAAATCCAGCATAATTAGTTGATCTGGCCGTTTTCAAGCATTCTATTAACATCTTCCCGTACGAGGACCTATTACTGGAGTTTCCCGGTGTGCGCACAGGGTGTCCACTTCCTATGGTCGTATCAGCGTGGCCAAAAACTGGGGTGTTTACCCTATCCTTCGGACAGAGTTGTAATTATTCCCATTTCGACAGGATTTGCTCGGGTGATTCGTGTCACTTCCTTCCGGACAACAAGGGGTCAAACGATGACATCACCAGTTCTCTCATGTCCTACCTCCCCATCTTGCCGAACGTGAGTTTTCAGCAAGTTCTGAAGATTCCCGAATTAGGGGGGAGGGGGTAAGGGTGTTTGCCCAGCTATGAATTTCAATGCAGTTAATTCGTTTTAATGAAAAGAGAAATCATCAAAGGAAGCTTTCAATGACAGTTTCTCCAAATGAGTTAGCAATTAATACAAAGAGCAGAAAAAAATGTGTGAAAATGTGGCAGAATTTACATGACTTCTTGTTGCCAGGTTGAGGATTTCTGTGACGAAAAAAATCACAATGCCGATGCCCCAACGCAGCATAACGCACTCTGCTCCGGTAAAAGCACATGGGAAATTATTTCCTCACATCCGGACTTTTCGCAAAAGTAAGTACCCATGATGAAGTAGACTTCTAATGGTGTTGTTTCCAGTCTGTAAGGGGATTTTTTTTCTCATAGTCCCGTCCCTTTGATGGGGAAGCCTTCTGACCCAAAATTCGAATTCGTGAAGAGTCAGGCCCGAAAAGTGTTCCTTCTCTTAGATGCATCCAGTGGAGGAAATGTCCAATTGGTGAGACCTTCGCGTTCCAAATCGAGAGTATGGCCTTTAAAAGGAAACTTTTCGATTAAACATGGTCTCTTGAATGTCGTGTCACAGGATCAGAATCGATGGGAGTGGACCCGCAGTTCAGTCTACCGCTTTCTGGAACTTCTCTCTCATGATCCAGAGCAGGTGACCAGATTCGCGTTAATTTATTTTGTTTGAAATTGAAGAGCCGAAGGAAAATTAAACTATTGAAAAAAAAAGTTTAAACCTTAAAAGAAGAGGGAAGATTCAAGTGACCTGAGAAGGAAGAAAAACGGTATATGTAAATAGACCAGCTCTCCACTTCCAGATATCTAAAAAAAAAAACTACTGTCTTAAATCAGGAGGGATTTATGTACCTGGACCTGGAATATTCCGTTTCTCAAACTTTTTTTGGCAGATGGACAAGTTTTTTTTTCTACCCTTCTAAAACGATATTAAACCTTTCCTGGCTGACGACTTCTTTGTAGGTGGAGCTGTCCCTGGCCCATTTTGCCTTGGAAATGGAGGAAGTGCCACCGTTGAGTCCAGTGAACACCTTCGGGTTGTCCAACCCCAGACTTGTCAGCCGGTATCCGAGTGCCAACAGGACGGCGTGCATCGGCTGCGCTCTGGATAAAATTGCCCAGGTGAGCAAAACATCGGGCATCAGCGTCCTAGAGACCAATTTCCAAGAAAAGTGAGTGCAAAAGCAATCGAAGGCCGGAAATTCACCAGGATAATTGTATTGAGACCAACATTCGGAAAATTGGAGTGCCTTCAAATTTGCATTTTTCCATGCATCGCAGAAATGTTCGCATCAGATTCATGCTCACACTCCTAAGACCTTGGCTTCTAACCAACTCGATTACAGCATTTTAAAAGCAGGTTCATAACCAACACTTTAATGTATTTATATCGAAGTTATAGCCCTCTGCATCCATCTGTTTTGACACAGGGAGAAGACACGCATTTTTAAGAAAACTTTGCAATGCTCAACGTAGCATAGACGAAGGAAAAAAATCAATAAGCAGGCTCATACCCACCAACTGATCAAATATTCATGTCTATCTGCTTTTCTTTTCCATTCATGAAATCATTTTGACCCTGGATAACGATACGCAAAAGCCTTTACAGGGTGGCGCAAAAAAAACCGGCCCACTTTTTAAACTGGTCTAGAACAGGAACTATTGAACCTAGCAGGTTAAAAAAAAAAGCAAATGAAAGTTCAATCCAAGCCCTTTCCAAAGATGTATGGTTTTGAGTCCATGGAATGCAGCAAGAAGGATGGAGGGGGGAACCAGCAGTGTGGGAGCAAACGGTTCACTGAAAGCCTTTATCATCACTCTCTTAACCTGTCCTACTTTTAGTCCAATTGTTTCACCCAACAAATGAGCAAAGAAACATTTGGAAACAGGGTAAGTGTAAGCTGTAAGTAAGTGTAAGCATATGTAAGGGTAAGCTTCAATAGTTCCTGTTCTAGACCGGTTTAAAAAGTGGACCTTTTTTTTTTGCGCCACCCTGTATACTCCTAAATACAGGGTGTTTATAAAGTTCCTATCTATTTTCAAGTAAAACAATGAACTTCCCATTTCAGGTTCAAGTATAGAATGGATAAATTTAAATCCCTTAAGCATTGTTTAATCAAGAAGCACTAGTTCATCTCTACATGTCCACCAATCATATCTTGGCATTGTTGTCACTGGTCAGTGGTAGCCTTCAATGCGTTGTGCAACATTGCCGGTGTTATGGATTCAACTGTAGCATTAATTTGAGTTTTACGATCCTACAAGTCACGAACCTTGCTTCTATAAACCTGCAACTTGATAAATCCTCACAAAATAGTCCATTGGTGTCAATTCCAGTGACTGTGGCGCCCAGGGACTTTCCAAACCGTGGCCTATCCACCGCTCAGGAAACAAAATTCTATCCCTCTCTGACGCTGTCAGCATGGCGTATTATTTAGTTATCTGTCCACCTTTCCACTGTTACAGAACTGCTGTCATGTGAGTCCGAAATTTAAAAGAAATTTATAGTTTTTCATCGAAATAGATAGGGACTTCATGGTATATGGGTCTCCTAACCAGAAGCTGTGATTCCGTTCGTATGGCTGGGTCAGAGTGTCCCGTTTTGAAGAATAATTTTTATTCCCATCTGAACAAGCGCCATGATTTCTTTGAGAAATGTGTTAAATGGAATTACTTTAAGCCGAAGTCTGACCAAGATTAAATTTCTGAAAAAATCACATTTTCAAGATCGGTTACAGAATTTCTGTTATGTAGATAATCCAGGAAGGGTCGATGAAGGGCGCCGAGGTTATCTTGCTCACCCGGAACGCTTACCTGGACCGCCATGACATCGCGATGGCAGACTGGGACAGGATGGAGTCCGTGCTCGCCTCTTTCGACACAGTGATCCATTCCGTGAGCGCCGACGGACAAGATCAGTCNATCTTGCTCACCCGGAACGCTTACCTGGACCGCCATGACATCGCGATGGCAGACTGGGACAGGATGGAGTCCGTGCTCGCCTCTTTCGACACAGTGATCCATTCCGTGAGCGCCGACGGACAAGATCAGTCCGAGGTGCGTCTGCGCAGGCGCAGCGTCCTCAGTGACCTCGTCAGGGGCTCGGGCGGTCGGGAGCTCCACCTGGACATGACCGGTGACGTCACCGACATGGTGGCTATCCTCAACGCCCTGGAGGCCCTCGTGACTCCTCACTCCTCCTTCAAGGTCGGTCGCATCCAGCTTCTTTCTCCCCTTCTCTCGGCGGCATTTGCATGTGAATACCCAGAGATGACTGATTTTACGCCTGCAAGTCATCAAATTGAAGATATGTGAAGAGAAGCTTCGTGGAGAAAGGAAGCTTAGGAATGAAAGTGATGGACTATATTTTTCATTTCACAAGGCGTCCCTTGTAAAGAAAAATCGGATAGTTCGCAAGCAATTTGCCAAATTATCCCAAGATTTGATATAATTTAATGAAGCATTGTTATAAAACAGATATAAGCCATCCTCGTAACTGGAATCATACTTGGAAAGCGAAGAAGAAAGGGTGCTTTCACTCTTACGCCCTCTGTGATTGTGAAGCCATATAATGAAGTCTGCCAGTCAAGGAGCGTAGTATCTTCTGAAAACAAAAAAAGTCAGGAGCAAAAAATTATAGTTTTATCGTGTGTCTAGGTGCTGGAAGAAGTGGGATCCCCGTCGCAGTACGGAAAGGTGCGTGGGAGGTTCATGCTGGATCCGTCGCTGACGACGGCGACCTTCACCGCTTATTACGGACAGGAACCGCGGGACGTAAAGGTGACTTCACCCTCCGGCCGGGTTCTCTCGCAGTCCCCTCGCCTCCAGGCCCACTATCACGCTTACATCATCGATATCCCCACCATCGACATGGAGGTCCGGATACGATCTCTTCATCATCATAAACGACAATTTCACTCGAATTCGACTTTTTATATTTTGGTATCAGAAAATTTGATATTCCCTCATGCGGGGTCTAAGTTCCTTTTTTTAAAGTTCGTTCAGTCGTTCAATTATTTGTAATTGTTTGTTTGTTTGTTCAATTATTGATTTACTACTTTTAATTATTAGTTTATATATTCCATTAATTGTAGATATGTTGCTGAATTTATCTCAGCTCGGCTTTTCACTTTGTCCTTGGAATCAGGAGGGGATGTGGGAGTATCAGGTAGACGCCTTTTCCATGGATCGGGTCGGAATCGAAATCCGGGCAAAGGCAGATCCCGAAACAGAAATCTCTCTTCGGGGCTCCACTTCGTGGGATCACATCCAGATCCCCGATCCACAGGTATTCCAAACCCTCATCACCGTCATTCTTCTAAGGCATTGTTGAATAGTTGAGAAAAAAGAGAGATAGATCGGGCTAGTCAGTTAACTCATACAGTCGCGTCCGGGGTGTGCCGACCTTGAAAGCGATATTGTACGTGCGAAGTGGAGGGATACAGGAGTGGTCGAGTCATTTATGGCAACTTCTTTTTCTCCGAAGAGCCCCACAGGACACGCACTCACTCAAACACGTATGCCTGTGTGTACGTACTTGGGGCTCGATTAGCATAGATGAGATGAGACGACACCAGAGGACATCCCGCCTGCCCTCTTCATGAATTTCTCATCAATCCTCTCTTTCTCTTTCACCCTCCCTCTCTCTCCCTCCTTCTCCCCCCCTCTCTCGCTTTCTTTCTCTATTCCTCATAGAGAATAAATGAAAACGAGGCGCCTTTTCACATCTGTACTTAGCCCTTTCACTCCCAAGCAGAATTATATCACTTTCTAAAGAGCCGATATATCGGCATCGTGGGATTCAAAGGGTTAATTTCTGGTACCGTTCTTGTGCTTGTCTCGAATGAGAAAGCATGACACAAGTTCGTCTCGCTCGTAATAAGTTGGCACGAGAGAAGAAAGTTCTCAAACTCCACAACATTTTTCCAGTATGAAGAGAATTTGCAAACTGGATCGCATTGCAAAATGTCTCAAGTCCAATTTATTCCTTTTCTCATACATCCTGAACGTAAGCGACATAGAAGTATTCGCGTGTTGAGGACTCACCTCACATGGGTGATATATGAGAGTCCCCATGACCGTTATGGTGCACGTGGTATGGCAATTAATTCTCCACTGATGACCCACGTTTTCTTTTTCCCATGGGAAGGGAAAGTTTCCTGAGCAATCTAGGACCCAAGGGGAAGGAAGTCTTCATCTGCCCTTGGGGGCATCGTCTATGTTGTTTCCACGCCTCTCTCCAAGATAAAAGTGAAACATCTTTCTTCCTTGGGGCCTATATGGATCTGGACTTAATAAGGGCCGGATACCCCGAGGCCATTCGAGACGATCTCATGTACACCCCCCTCGCATTCATTATTCATTGCTTTTTCCTGGGAAGGAACTACGGGCCTCATGATGAAGAGAAATTCGTGCTCGAGCTTCGAAATGAAAACATTCCTGAAAGATGAAAAATTACGAACAAATAATTGAAGTGAGCACATGAGTGTTGAAATATTTTCAAGAATGCGCACTAAAAATAAATAAATGATTAGTGCATCCAAAATTGAAAATGATAAAGGAAGAAAATAATATAAAATACGCCGTCAAAAGAGAAAAATAATAGACAATTTTTAAAATATTAAAATATTACGAGGTCAATTTTTAACCTTTCAACGATCAGAAACTTACTGCTTATTTATTTGCATTCAGGTGAGACCATTGATGATTTATGCGGAGTTGTGGCACGGGACGAGTCCCGTCCTCAACGCCACCGTCACTGCCCGGCTGACCCGCAAGTCCGCTGACGTCACAGACGACGTCATCGTCCCCCTCACAGACGACGGTCAAGGAGGTATGTCCCACGTTGATCACGATCACCATTCCAGTGAATTACTCTGATGATGAATGCAGAAAACATAGGTCGCCTTAGGATGCTCTTGAAGTTCTCGATATAATTTAAGAAACTGGGAGGAAATGCGCCCTATTGAGTTGGCCTGTTGGAACAGGGAATCCCTTCGGGCCAGCTCAATACAGGAAGTCCTAGAGTGGCCTTCAGAAAAAATAAAAATAAAAAGAAAGCAGGACTAAAGTAGAGACTCGGTTCCGGTCAATTCGAGACCAGAATATAACACATACCGAACAATATATCTCTTGTAAGAGTATTGATACCGTGACCACATTCGCTCGTTTATATAAGAGAGAACTGAAGGGATGTATTTAATTCGAAGCTTTCCCCGCCTAGTGTCTNGTGGTCGAGTCATTTATGGCAACTTCTTTTTCTCCGAAGAGCCCCACAGGACACGCACTCACTCAAACACGTATGCCTGTGTGTACGTACTTGGGGCTCGATTAGCATAGATGAGATGAGACGACACTAGAGGACATCCCGCCTGCCCTCTTCATGAATTTCTCATCAATCCTCTCTTTCTCTTTCTCCCTCCCTCTCTCTCCCTCCTTCTCCCCCCCCCCCTCTCTCGCTTTCTTTCTCTATTCCTCATAGAGGATAAATGAAAACGAGGCGCCTTTTCACATCTGTACTTAGCCCTTTCTCTCCCAAGCAGAATTATATATCACTTTCTAAAGAGCTGATATATCGGCACCGTGGGATTCAAAGGGTTAATTTCTGGTACCGTTCTTGTGCTTGTCTCGAATGAGAAAGCATGACACAGGTTCGTCTCGCTCGTAATAAGTTGGCACGAGAGAAGAAAGTTCTCAAACTCCACAACATTTTTCCAGTATGAAGAGAATTTGCAAACTGGATCGCATTGCAAAATGTCTCGAGTCCAATTTATTCTTTTTCTCATACATCCTGAACGTAAGCGACATAGAAGTATTCGCGTGTTGAGGACTCACCTCACATGGGTGATATATGAGAGTCCCCATGACCGTTATGGTGCACGTGGTATGGCAATTAATTCTCCACTGATGACCCACGTTTTCTTTTTCCCATGGGAAGGGAAAGTTTCCTGAGCAATCTAGGACCCAAGGGGAAGGAAGTCTTCATCTGCCCTTGGGGGCATCGTCTATGTTGTTTCCACGCCTCTCTCCAAGATAAAAGTGAAACATCTTTCTTCCTTGGGGCCTATATGGATCTGGACTTAATAAGGGCCGGATACCCCGAGGCCATTCGAGACGATCTCATGTACACCCCCCTCGCATTCATTATTCATTGCTTTTTCCTGGGAAGGAACTACGGCTGGCCTCATGATGAAGAGAAATTCGTGCTCGAGCTTCGAAATGAAAACATTCCTGAAAGATGAAAAATTACGAACAAATAATTGAAGTGAGCACATGAGTGTTGAAATATTTTCAAGAATGCGCACTAAAAATAAATAAATGATTAGTGCATCCAAAATTGAAAATGATAAAGGAAGAAAATAATATAAAATACGCCGTCAAAAGAGAAAAATAATAGACAATTTTTAAAATATTAAAATATTACGAGGTCAATTTTTAACCTTTCAACGATCAGAAACTTACTGCTTATTTATTTGCATTCAGGTGAGACCATTGATGATTTATGCGGAGTTGTGGCACGGGACGAGTCCCGTCCTCAACGCCACCGTCACTGCCCGGCTGACCCGCAAGTCCGCTGACGTCACAGACGACGTCATCGTCCCCCTCACAGACGACGGTCAAGGAGGTATGTCCCACGTTGATCACGATCACCATTCCAGTGAATTACTCTGATGATGAATGCAGAAAACATAGGTCGCCTTAGGATGCTCTTGAAGTTCTCGATATAATTTAAGAAACTGGGAGGAAATGCGCCCTATTGAGTTGGCCTGTTGGAACAGGGAATCCCTTCGGGCCAGCTCAATACAGGAAGTCCTAGAGTGGCCTTCAGAAAAAATAAAAATAAAAAGAAAGCAGGACTAAAGTAGAGACTCGGTTCCGGTCAATTCGAGACCAGAATATAACACATACCGAACAATATATCTCTTGTAAGAGTATTGATACCGTGACCACATTCGCTCGTTTATATAAGAGAGAACTGAAGGGATGTATTTAATTCGAAGCTTTCCCCGCCTAGTGTCTCCCTCTCCGAATTGGAAACTCCAGGGTGTGAAATTCTCGACAGGATGTGATTGAGTTAAGAGAGAACGTGATTCCCCTCGATTGTCACTGCCAGCAACAGCCAAGATGTTTAATCCTAGCAGAAATCCAGCGGCATGCTGGAAAGGGGATTCTCGATGCCAGAGTTCCCTAACCCTCCCTTCTGAGAGAAAATCGGCACCGATAATTGACTCAGACAAATCTTTCCCCCCGAATCAGCGCTCAGTACGGCTACAGATGATTTCATCCGTTAAGATAGGACGAGCTTCGTCAGAATAATACATTTTTTCCCTATCGGTGAATTCTTTATTGGTTGCAGGTACAACGACAAATACCTTATCGTCGGGATTTATTGATGCACTTAGAATGCATGTTTAGGTCACGCAAACATCATAGTGACGTTCATTATTATGTCTGTAGATTAGGCAACCTCGACGAAGAAATCTGATCGATCTAACGTTCAACTGTTTCTGAAAAAAATGCATTTCAGCTTCAGAATTGATTGCCCTAATTGCTTTCCTCACATCCGCATCGTTCTGCACTTGAGCCTATCGTTGACTTTTCGACTGGCCCCGGTGAGAAGCTATCGGTAATGCTTTCCGGAGCGAAGATGAAGCCGACGCATTTTTTGACGAAACTAAAGAAGGGAATCGGTGCTCTGGCACACCTCAAAGGCCTGAGATTCTCATCCTTGACAGGTGCAGTAAATCATTCACCACCATCAGTGGCGTATTTTACGTGGGGGGCCGTCCCCCCCCCCCCCCCCCCCC